AAAAAAAAAAAAAAAAAAAAAAAAAAAAAAAAAAAAAAAAAAAAAAACAAAACTGGAACTTGCTAAAGAAATTCCAGCTGAGGAAAGGTTTTTATCTCTGAGGCCAAACACTGAAGGTTGAAAGCTGAGGTACTTTGAAGAAGGCATTTTTCCATCATGCCTTCTGTTTAAGTTGGCAGTAGCTATTACTGTTACTATACCACTGTGTAGCCAAGGTCATACTCACATTCCAGTTTTGCTTGTATTGTAAAAAGCTTTATGTGTTGGTAAATTCTGACAGGGAAATTGCAGACTGAATCTTACAGCTTTTCTTAAGGATAATATGAGTTGATATCTTAGTTCATTAGTGAAGTGTGAATGCAGTACATATTTTTACATTTCTGTGAATGCTTGGTCTTATGTCAGTGAGCAAGAAGTACCTTCTAATGACTGTGCTTCAGAAAATGCACAAGCATTTTAGGGACTGAAGGAGATATCTACCAAATTTCATGTATTACACCAGTATCCAGTCCAGAATTTTTGGTCCAAAGAAAAGCACGTTATTGAATGTACCTTTTGATTTTGTGGAGCATCAGTCATTTTCAAACTCCCTGATGTGTGCATGCCTACAGATCCACCCCTGGAGATTTAGGCTTCTTCAGAAACTTTACACATGCTGGTGGAATCAGCTCAATTTTCTTGACCACTTTTTGTCAGTCTTTACAGAAATAGTCAGATATCCCAGGAGCCTGGGGACCATTGGTTCCAAACTATAGCTGGCAAGAGACGTATTTACACAGAGTTCATGACCCTCTGTAGGACCTTCTTCATATGTAATCTAGATAACTGGCTTGAACTGGAGACCTAACTTTTAAGAAGCAGGAGTTGGACGAGATGGATACTATTGCTAGCAGCTAAACAGCTGTGTGCTGCTGTTCTTTTCTTTCTTTTGAACTAGATCTGGAGCTCATAAATATTTGTTTAACTTGATTTTTTTTCTGTTCATAAGTGCCTCTTCAACGAAACAAAAGCGTGACTGTGTTGTGAATAGGTAGCTGACTAGCTGAACCTTGGGATTCAGCTACTGTTCCAAGTAAATACAATAAGCTGATTTCTGCCAAGCTTTTAACTTGTAGATTTTAGCCATCTCAGCCAAAATTTTTGTTTCCTTTAGCCTCTTTTGTACTTGATAGTAGATGTTTGCTACGTGTGATTGAATGTGTGAATAAAGGAATGAAAAGAATGAAAGAAACAAATGAAAAATAGCATTAATACCATTTCTATTTCTAGTGAACTCCCCAAGCATGCTGTTTCCTCTGAAATGCCTGTTGTGATATACACTTCTGTTAACAGCAGCTCCTATGTAGACGGCTCTCAGAAACCACAGCAATTGCAAAAAGTCTTCTGCAAAGAGCATCCTGTCCTGTAGGGCTCAGCTGAAATGTTGGCTAGGCAGCCTTTGGGAGGTTGCCTTGACCTGCCTCCTCCCAGTGGTCACTTGAAGGTCCCACCATCCAGACTTTTATATCCAGCAGTTACTACTTTTTGGCACTGCTGAGGTTATTGTCCTGAAAGACAGAAGAATCAGGAAGATGTAGAATGACAGTACTGTCCAAGCACTTAAGGTGTTCAAGTGCATGTTGGTCTTAAAAATGGTAATTGATGTTTTGTTATAGAAGTAACAGAATGGAAGATCTGTTTGTGGTAGTCCTGTGTTGCCTGTAAATAAGTTTATTTGCACCTGCACAGCTGATCTTTGTGCTCACAGCAGAAGTTAGTCACAGAAGTCATCCTGATGCGTGTATTTATTTAAAGTTGTGTACAGAACTCAGGCTGATAAACGGCAGATTTAAAGGTTAACAAATGGGATGCTATAAAACACAGTGACTTGACACTGAACGATTTATGTATCTTCCAGCACTTCCTATGAAAGCAGCGGCACTGTTACAACTGGCCAGAGGTATTTATTAAAATGGAGCGTACCACTGGGACAAGTGGAAGTTATAGAGTATGGGAGCAGTGAGGGCCAAGGAGAGAACTGCAGGTTTCCACCCCAGCACTCTGCTGAAAATGTTATTGTGAACTCTAAGCCAAGTAAGTGACAGCTGTTCTATGCTTATAATTTTTTTTTTGTTAAAATCTATATTTCAATTGTGATGGACTACAAAATGGAATACTGAACACGTGGTGCATGAATTGCTCTGTAACATGACAATAATGCAACCTCTTTCTTAGTAAACCAGGAGTGATAGACAATCTCTTGCCTTGCAAAATGAATTACTTGTATTTGTCCTATTTCAGGGTTTTATGCATGAATGCATAAACAGTTCTAGAGTTTTAAGCCACAAATGTGTATGTACATGAAAAAAGGTTTGCTTTGGTGTGGTTTGCTCTCCCGTGGTTGTGCAAACGTTCTCATTCCATAGTTAAAGCAAGGAGTTTTTTTTCTGTGAAGATGGCAAGCCACCCTCTTGCTGTGGAAGAAGAGCCTGGATACAATTGTTACTGGAGGGCAGAAGTTATTTCTGTGAAGTGGGTAGTATCCTCCAAACGCAGTATCAAGTTCTTCAGGGGAAAAAAAAAAAAAAGAAAGAATGCTTAATGTTAACTTTAATTAATGTTTTTGAAACTATCTTCCAGTAGGTAACTTTTTCCCAGCCTCTCTCCAAAATTGACTTCTGTCTCTGAAGTTTGCAAACTCTTTATGTGCTCATTAATCCCTTCTATAAGCTTGCCAACTACCCTCAAGTGATACGAGTTTCAAAAGTTTACTCAGTAGCTTGCCTTTTATGTGTAAAGAATTATTTTTATATATTTTGTCTAAATATCGTGTTTGTAAGCATGTCTAATATATCTAGATAGTGATCCCTGTTAATGGATTGTAATTTAGATTGCTTTCAGTGCTGGCTTGGGCAATTTTTACACTGCATTTATTTATATTGTGCTCTTTGCCTCATGAATTTTCTCACAGTTATCTTTTAGAACCATCTTAGGGACAGCTGCAGCATTTAATACCCTCCTTATTTTTAGTGGCAGTTAGTGTTGAGCCTTCTGGCTCCTCCCTCTGCAAGTAGCCTCACACTTTTATGGGTACTTGTGTCTCATTTTCAAGGATGTCTTTATTCTTGTAACTCCTTTAAAACATCAAGTGGCTGCTTAAATAATGAGATGAGAACTCTTAAATTATTATTTATCACCTGCTGTATGCATGACACCAAGAATAATGTGCATAAGGGGAGCGTATTAATTAGAATCAGAGTTTCTCTTGTAGGAGCATGTAGGTGGAACAGTTGTGCAACTTTGTGCAGCAGCTTCATTGCTGAATATACCAAGTCTTTCCCAGTCAGCAATATCAGATGGGAAAGTAGGAGATGAGGGGAGAAAAAAAGAAAATCCTTTATCCAAACCATCCTATAGAACCTGCTTGAATTTCATGGTATGTGGTGACATCACAAATAAATGACTTTGCACATCATGTGTTGTCTCAACCATTAGCTTAAACGGTGCTCAGTAGGTAAAAAGTGAGCAGAACTGACTGTTCTCTTACTAAGCTCTGATCATGTAATTAATTCAGTCTTCTAATAGAAAGGATCAAAAGGTAAAAATTAAAAAGCATAGAAAGGATACTAATTATAGAAATGAATATATCTTCCCCCAATTTTGATCAAACATTTATCCCAAATGATCCAACTAAATCAAAGGTGATCACTCATGAAAGGGGGAAGAATGTAGTTTTGCTTTTCACCTGTGGTGCTGTCAGCACTAGCTGTTACTCCAAATGCAGACTTGCCTGAATTGGCCTGCATAGACAAGTTTGAAGAGACACTTAATTGTGTTAGTTATTCTGTAGCAGTGTCCTCTTAGTTCTAGCTTTCTTGGCTGCTAAAGATTAAAGAAGCTGAGAAAATAGGCGTCTTGTAGAGAGAAAGGACTGTTTAGGCTGTGTAATTGTTCTCTGTTGCTTATTTGTGCTTATCAAAATAGCCAGAAATTTCACTGATAGTGCAGCACAACAAGGACAAAAATGATGTCATCTTCAAATAAAAAAAAAAACTTGACCACAAATGACAAAGCATTAAATATGACCTAATCGCCATAAAGTTGTGTTTCCTTCTGCTGTTGAAGTATATCAAGATACTACTGTGGCCTCATACAATGTGGTTGTACTCTGTCTGTTATCAAGACAGCTTAAATATCTAATGGTCAGTAGCATTTTGGGATGCTACAGGCAAAATCCTGGGTTCGCATGAGATAGAATCTTGCAGAGCTGTGATTTCAGCTCTTGTTTCCAGTTTATGTGAACTGGAGAGATGCAGAGTAGTGATGATTCTGTGTAAAATCATTAAATAATGAGGAGACATCTCTTCTATTTCTGGAGAACTGAGAAAGGAGCACTTTTATTTGCAGTATTCTAGGTTACATGCAGGTAAGGTTGAGACTCTCATGTTATTGCTGTGATCAGCAAGGATTCTTGATAGTTTTTGGTTGTGTGCTTGTGAGGATTACTGGTCTTATTGTGGCATATTTTTCTCCACCAAAATTCTTGCTATGAGAAAACAACTACCATAAGTTTATCTCACTGTTCTTGGTTAAATGCAATTGGCACCTTAAGCTGTCTACCATGCTGCAAGAAAGGATAGGACAGTTTAAAGATACAGACTACTGTCAATGCTATGGAAAAAGTAATAGCTGAATTTTAATTTATTTTGTGTAGGTTGTAATATACAACTGCTGAAAGGTTGAAAAGTTTTATTAGTACCTATAAGTCAAGGGCATGCTTCAGCAGTGCTATAGATAGAAGAGAAAAAAAAAAAAAAAAAAAAAGGTTGTGTGAGCATCTTTCTTTAGTGGCAAAAATTATACATTTGCAGCTTTCTACTCAGTTCTGCTTTGTGTAACAGTACTTTTCATCTCTGAATTTTGGAGAACCCATTTATGGGTTTTTCAGTTCATCTCTTTTTAAGCTTTCTTGTCATTTTCCAGGGGATACTGTGTGGCCTAAGGGGAAAGGAGTATGTGGGGAAAGAAAACATTTTTCTTAGCCTGACCTGTTATGCTCTTTCTGTCTTTGATGTGCTTTTGCCCTATTCCAAAACCAATCTCTTTTAGTTAATGAATGTAGAGAAAGATTGAAGCCTCAGCTGTTTGGTGGAGTTCTTGTATTTGTATGGAACTTAGTATGCTTTGTAGTGGAGCAAAGTTATAACTTGTGTTTGTTCCCTGTAACAATATTTGAAGCACAAAACATTTCACTTTTTTTTTCTTTTTTTTCACAAACAGAAAAAACAGCACTTTATGGTATTTCTTTTTCTTTGAGCAGATCAGGACGAGTCTTGTTCCCTGTATTGGAGTTAGTCTTATTTGAAAGCCTGTGAGGATGAGCCTCTAGCATCCTGAGCAGAATCATTGCCTTAATGCTGTGAGGTCTATTGTGTTAATTTTCATCAGCTGAACCATTTGCAGGTTGCAAGACGAAGTTCTTCCCACTAAATCCACATTCTGTTACAGTGAGGCTGTTGCTTACTGTATTTTCCAATCCCTTTAATAGTGCTGGATCATATGAAGAAGCTGAGACCCATTTATAATGCTGAGAAGTTGAATTAATACAGGAAAAAAAGAATATTGTAATTATGAACAGGAAGTTATATATTCTTGATTTTTATTTACTTCTGTTTACTTTGCTGGAAGAACTGCGTTGTATGATATATTTCAGTAATTGGTATTTGAAGTGTGTTTTAGGTGGTTATGAAAAATTTGATTTGTTTTTTTTGGTAAGATATAATACTATAACACTCAGTAAAGTTTCTTAGTGTGACAGATCAGAACTGTGATTCAGGACCTAAAAGGAGCTTGGCAAAGGGATTGTATAATATGGGGATAAACTGAGGTAATAAGTGGTTGGAAAGCTCAAAAGAAGAGACAGTTAACTACACAGCTTCAGTACTTAATGTCAGTTAGTGAATTCCATTCTTCCAGACAATTTTGTTGATACATGCATTGTTTTTGCCTTCTCTGTTTAAGTTACTGAAAGTGATGGATTCAACATTCACATCTGACCTATTAGTTTTATTTGTTGGTTTTTTTTTCTTTCATTTTTTTTTCTTTTGTCCAGGGTGATTACAGGTAACCTGCTTATTATGGTCCTGGGAGAATGAACATTTTAAAGGCTCCTGAATTTTAAGGGATCCTGAATTTTATTATTTGCTCTGTCATGGATTTAGATTTTTCCTCATGGGTATGTCTTGATGTTCCGCACCTTGGTTTCCTCACCAATAAAATATGCTGTGCACAATCTGTCTGCAAGGGATCTATTAGAGACTACAGTTCTAAAAACCACCCACATCTGATTGAGTACCGTGGATAATTGTGCTTTCTCACAGAAGAACTGAAGGGTAATCCATGACTGTTCAAGCACAAGCCTATTGCTAACCTCAATTTTAAGTTTTTGTTATTTTAGATTATCTAAGCATTGTAAGTATTTAGGTTAGATGTTAGGAAAAAATCTCTTCTCATAGAAAGTGGTGAGGCTTCCCAGGGAAGTGGTGGAGTCACCATCCTTTGGAAGTTTTCAAGAAAAGGGTACTTGTGGTACTGAATGACATGGCTTAGAGGACATGGTGGGGGTAGGTCAGCAGTTGGACTAGTTGATCTTAGCGGTCTTTTCCAACCTTAATGATTCTATGATTCCAAATTAATCGCTGCATTTGTTATGATGTCTTTTTTTGCCCCCTCAATGATCTGTAGTAGTTGAAGGATCTTACCTGTTGACCATTTCCTTGTTTTATTGTTTATTAGGGATTTTCTGTTCTTCTATTGGCTTTTGAGAAAGCTTATTGCAGGGTTGTATCCTATTGAATGGTATTCATTCAGTCAAAGAGGACAAGCTGAATTTGTGAAAAGAGCGCAATAAGTAAATTAAATGCTGCCAGTGTTCTTATGATGAAAAAGAGGATGGGTAAAAGAATGGTGAATACAACTTATTTTTAATCCAGTCCTAAATATTTCTTTCCAAAAGCTATAAAAATACAGTCAAAGGCAAATTTGTAATTTTATTGTAAAAGTGTGCTATGTTCACTATATTCTACTCTAGAAGA